CGAAGCGTGACGAGACCGACAGCGACATTGTCTTCGCCGAATGGGGCGGGGAGTAATAAGAAGATGCTTGCGCAGGTTGAGGAAGACGGTAACCAGGAGCAATAGGGGGTTCGTGAAGGCTTTCTCGTGCCGATGTCTGTCTGTCTGTCCGCTCTTTTTTGTCATGTCAGCTTGCATACTTTGGACAAGGATGTTGGGTATGGGATTTGTTAGTTGTGTTAGTTGTTAGGAGGTTCGAGTCAATTCATTGTCTGATTTCCATGTATTCATCTATTTTATCAATTCCAGCTACGTGGTACAGCGACGATATGTACCTGGAACGTAATATAAGATACCCGAAAGTGAGTACATGCCATCCAATTCTGGCCTCGCGTATGTAATAGGCCCAGCGTAGCATTCACATCACACACTCAGAAGCCAATATATCAATAGAATTAAACCATGCATCCAATGTCCCACAAGACTAGTACGTACGTGCCCCGCCATCTGCCAAACTATCCTAGTATCCCGCAGCTGATTGGGGTTGCATTCTCGATATCTAGTAGTACAGGCACATGCAGTATTGGATATTCACTCACTAGAAGCAAGAACTGAGCCCAGTCCATGAAACGAGTATGCGTGTGCACCGAGATTGACCGGCACTTTCTAATTGTAATATATATGTAGTATAACATAGGGCTACGCCCAACATCATTAGACATCTTCCCTAAACTCAATCATCTACTCGCCCATCATGAAAACCCCCATATCATTCACCTCTCTCCTCCTACTCTCAACCTCCTTCGCCCTCTCAACCACCACCGCACCACAATTCCAATGCACCCCCTCCCCCACCCTCCCCCATCAATCAATCGACATCGCAATCCTCGGCGGCGGTGCCTCAGGAACCTTCTCCGCCATCCACCTCCAAAACAAGCACGCAAACCAAACCCTCGCGCTCATCGAAGCTAAACCAAAACTCGGCGGCCAAGTAAACACCTACCACGACCCCTCCACAGGTCTAACAGCCGAATACGGCGTAAACCAATACACAGACGTCCCCGGTGCAGCAGAGTTTCTTGACGCCCTGGGGATTCCGTATACCCGCTCAGGGACTAGGGGCGGGGATAGGGGTGGGGGATCGGGGTATATTGATATCCAGAACGGGAGGATATTGGATGGGCCGAGTGAGGAGGAGGGGAATGAGACGGCTAAGGCGATACGGGTTTATAGGGAGATTTTGGGGAGGTATCCAGAGCTTGAGGAGGGGTTTTTGCTTCCCGAGCCTGTTCCTGAGGACTTGGTACTGCCGTTTACGGAGCTTGCGAGGAAATATGGGATTGAGCGTGCTGTGCTGCCGCTTTCGACTGGGATGGGGGATCTGGATAGTGTCCCGACGCTCTACGTGATGAAGCATTATGGCACGCATGTATACCGGAATCGATTCCTATACACAGCGCGCAAGAATAACCAGGAGATATACGACAAGGCACAACAACTACTAGGAGAAAGCGCCCTCCTCTCAAGCAAACCCCTCGCCATTCAACGAAACGAGAACAACAATAGCGTACAGATATGCCTACAAACACCAACAGGCACGCAACTCCTCCACGCCAAACGCCTCCTCGTCACCATCCCACCGACCCTCAACTCCTTAAAAGGCACAGGCCTAGACCTAACACCCGAGGAAACAGCCCTTTTCGCCAATTTCTCGCGGATTGGGTATTATTCCACTCTAGTCCACATTCCGGGTTTCTTGCCCTTCTTGTCCTTCCAGCAGAATAGCACGGACAAAAAGAACAATATAACCGTCCTTGAAAACACATACCCGGCAAACAGTTTTAATCTCCCACAATTGCCTGCGATCTGGAATATCCACAGAACATCCATTCCAGATCTCTATCACATCGAGTACGGCACTGCCACACCACTATCTGAAGATATCGTCAAACAAAATATCTTCACTGATCTAGCTCGTCTGCGGAACACAGGTTTAATCATCACCATTGATAATGGTAGTGGCACTGATGTACAAGAAGACCCAGTGGTTGTTAGATTCGCAGACCACTCGCCGTTCTATCCGTACTTATCACCTGAGGCGATAAAGGATGGGTTTTATAAAAGGCTTGCTAAGTTACAGGGGGAGAGGGGGACGTGGTGGACGGGGGGCGCTTTTCATGTGCCGGATTCGAGTCTATTGTGGAGATTTTCGGAAGGGGTTGTTGCGGGTTTGGTTAAGAGCATTGAGGAGGGTGGGTGATATGAAGGGGGGTTATAATGGGTTGTGTTATTGTGTTATGGGAGTTGCGTGGTGCGGGCTACGGGAGTAACGCGGAAGAGTAGGGCTACGTGCTAGTAATCATCATTCGTTCTCATCAGGGCCCGAACAGGTCTAGTCACAGGTATAGCGTGCTATACAGTAACACCTGCCCGGATAGATCATTGTCATTGTCACATATCTTCGTTTATATGTAAGTACATCATCCATCTGGCATATCCACGGTATCGGCATGAGTATCGATATTGATATCAGTCCCGATACCTGATGAATATGAATGGTCTTGTCGTCGTCATTCCTTTATTTCATTTCTTCATTCGATTCATGCCTCATCTTTTATTTCCATCTCCATCTCCGTCTCCGTCCCTGTCCTCTTCATCTCATTTCCTTCCGTCCCCGACCTGACTCGTGCTTCATCAATACCACACCAGAAGCGAGTCCGGCTCGTTTCATGGCCACGGCAATGTGAGACACGGTCCGATATTTTTTTTTTTTTTTTTTTTTTGCTGTCTTTTCTTTT